GGGGGGGTGCGAGGCATTGAAAGGGCCGAGCGCATGGTGGAAAGCAAGCTTTGGCTCTCTGCTAGAGCAGGACAAAGGTGGAGAGTGACAAAGTGACACGGAAGGGGACTCGGAGGGTTTAATGGGGCCCCGGTGGCACCTCCGATGGGGCCAAACCGCCCCACTCCGCTCCCCTAAACCCCGTGCCGGCATGGGCTATGGGGTGTCCTCTCCACGCTGGGGAGCAATGGGGTGCCCTCTCCATCCTCCCAGGACGGGGGTGCGGCACAAGCCCGGTGTGACCCGTTCCCAGCCCCAAAGGCACGTGAGGACTCGTTATCCTCCCACAAACTGGGCAACGGGAGCTCGGAGAGGCCGAGTCCCAGATCCCGAAACTATTTCGGTGCGATGCCGCCGTGGATGCCAGGGCGAGCGGAGGTCCCCGGGGAGCCCTGGCAGAGCTAGGACATCTCTTAGGGCTGTGCCCTTCCCATAAACCAGCTCTCCTTCCCCCAGATCTGCTTCACCCTGACCTATTTATCGCCGACGGCTGTGTCTGATGGTGATCACAAGCCCGGCACCTCCGGGGAACCGTGCCGGTATATTTAGGCACTGGTCTCCTCCGTTATGCAATGAGCATCAGGGCGGCTATGGGGAGGTGGTTCCCCCTGGAAAACGAATGTAGGGTGGCTTTGCAAAGCCCATGGCCTCGGGACATGGGGAAGGACAGGGTGACCCAGCTGGAAATGGGGGGGTGACATCGCATGGGTGACACCGCAGCTCAGCCATTCAGCTCATGGTGGGGCATCTGTAACACGTCCCGCTGAAACTCAACGGCGCATCGCTTCCCTCCGAAAGGATCCTCTAATGCTCGGGTGATGAGCGAGCTCCACGCCAGAGCCCCCCCGGCTCGGCAGGGTTCGGGTGTCCACGCAGGCGTGGGTGCCGTGGGTAGGATGCCCGTGGGACGTGCGAGGAGCTGCAGAGGGAACGGAGCACAGCCCCGAGACGGAAGGGCTAAGGGGAGGAAAGAGTCGAGACACGGAGGCCAACCGGGGGACAAACAGCCATTGTGGGGATCCACGTGGCTGCGGGACGGTCCCTGCCGCGGCTGGCACCGGGATGTGTGGCACCCCACGGCGGGGGGGGTGCAGGGGGCTCTGCTCAAATGCTCCTTTGAGCTCCCCGTGGTCCAGGCTCAGGGTACAAATCCCTCCCTGCCACCCCGCGTCGATGGCCACAGTTTAGCTGCATGGCTAGCTGTGGTTGCTGGAGCCGGAGGAGATGCTGGGAGGCCTTGGGGAGGGGTCACGTCTGGAGGTGCCTCCCTGTGCCCCAGCTCTGCAGGACCGTCATTTGTGGGGACAGAGGTTGGTTTCAGCTCCTGGAGCCCCTGTGTAAGGTTGTGCCTCTGGGGATGCTCGGTGGCCACCATCCCTAAGGGCTGTCATCCTCCACCCCACAAAGCACCCTGGCTGCTCCAGCGCTGGGAACTGTTTTTTCTCCAGCAGCATGTGCTGGTCTCAACTAAACGAGGTGCAGAAAAAGGAGGCCAAGGGCATTTGGGTGTACCCAGAGTGATGGAGACCGCGGGCTGCAACGGGCCACCCCTTTCCCATCCACACCAGCCCCACCAAACCCTCCCCAGGACGTCAGCCTGGCGCGGGGCCGTCCCCAGCTCCGGGGTAGGACATGGCAGGAGGTGGCTGGAGGAGAGGTTGGCCATGGAGCCGGGCTGATGCTGGGGAAGAAAAAGCCCCAGCAGTGAGTGGAGGCCACGGGAGGCGAAGGGTTTGCCTCTTCCCATGGCTGCAGCCTGCTGGCTTAGGGAAACTTGCTCGGCAACCCGGCGCCAGCATCCAAACCCTTCCCAGGTACGGGTGGGAGAGATGGAAAACAACCTTTCGCTGTGGGCACGCAGCACGTGGGACCCATCTGCAGCCTGCGGTCCATCTGGGATGGAGCACGAGGGTGGCCCCGCCGGAAGGTCCGTGTGGCCCCGGGATGCCCGGGAGCAGGCATCCAGGGGAGACCCTAAGGATGGAGTGAGCATATACGGTGTTTCCCCCGAGCCCTTTCCCACCCTCCAGCCGTGCTCGGGGCGGGGAGGGGGTTTGCAGGGCTGGTGATGGGCTCTGCATCACCCCCCCTGGATTCCTCTCCCAGGACATCTCCAACCTCCCCC